TGGTACGTTGAGCGGTGCCTGACCTGCAGGAAGGTCAAGGCCGAACACCAGAGACCACACAGCAAGATGCAGCCGTTGGATATCCCGCTGTGGAAATGGGAAGACATCACGATGGATTTCATCACCAAGCTTCCCAGGACCGCGCGGGGAGTGGATTCGATATGGGTCATCGTCAATCGATTGACCAAGAGCGCCCACTTTATCCCGATTCAGGAGAGCATCTCGGCCGAGAAATTGGCCGATATCTACATCAGAGAGGTGGTGGCACGGCACGGGGTGCCAGTTTCAGTGATTTCGGATAGGGATGTGCGGTTCACTTCCAGGTTATGGAAGAAGTTTCATGACGAGCTGGGTACTCGTCTACATTTTAGTACAGCCTTTCACCCGCAGACGGATGGCCAGAGCGAGCGGACCATCCAGACTCTGGAGGACATGCTGCGGGCGTGTGTTTTAGACTTCGGTGGTAGCTGGGATACCTATCTTCCTTTAGCCGAGTTTTCATATAACAACAGCTATCACGCGAGTATTGACCGCCCTCCCTTCGAGATGTTGTACGGGAGGAAGTGCAGGACCCCGATATGTTGGGGCGAGGTTGGACAGAGAGTCATGGGGAGCACTGAAGTAGTGCTCAAGACGATAGAGAAGATTCAGCAGGTCCGGAGCAGGCTTCAGACTGCTCAGAGTCGGCAGAAGAGTTATGCCGATAGGCGCCGATCAGACCTGGAGTTCCAGGTCGGGGATATGGTTCTCCTGAAAGTGTCGCCATGGAAGGGCGTCATCCGATTCAGGAAACGGGGCAAGTTGGGTCCCAGGTATATTGGACCGTTTAGGGTTGCAGCCCGAGTGGGCAAGGTGGCATATCAGCTGGACCTGCCAGCCGAACTCAGTCAGATCCACAGCACTTTCCACGTCTCCCAGCTGCGGAAGTGCATGGTGGACGATTCAGCAGTGGTACCTTTGGAGGACATCCAGGTTGATGACAGCCTGAATTATATCGAGCGGCCTGTGGCTATCCTAGACCGGAAGTCGAAGGAACTGAGGAACAAAAGGGTGGAGCTGGTGAAGGTGCAATGGCAGCATCGGAAGGGCTCGGAATGGACTTGGGAGCCCGCGGATGAGATGATGGAGCATTATCCGGAGCTGTTCCGGAAGGGAGCGGCAGACTTCGAGGACAAAGTCTAAAATAAGTGGGGGAGATTTGTAACACCGGGTTCATGGTATGATTTTATTTAAGTTTTTATCCTAATTTTGCCACGAACTCGGCGAGTCTGCGTCCCGACTCGCCGAGTAACAGCAGGGTAGACACGGGATTTGAGCGGTGAACTCGGCGAGTCGATGCATGGACTCGGCGAGTCCACCTGTCTGGATGAAACTCTATTTTCGGACATTGCACCCTATTTTACCCATTCTAAAACACCCATTTCGTCCCATTCTCTTCCAGAAGAACTGTAGAGCGAAACCCTAGCCCATTTTGATCCTTGAGAGTGATTTTGGCTTGGTGAAGGAAGTTTGAAGCTTAAGAGAAGAAGGAGGAAGTTGGAGGGTGCAAGGAAGTGTGGTAGATCCGAAATCTACCCTGGGAGAAGCTCCTAACCAGGTAAGAAAGCTCCTTCTTGATCTTTAGTATAATAGATTCCCTTTTTGTCCCTTATATGTGGATTACAAGACCTTAAACCTCCCAAACTCCGTGTGTTTATGCCCTAGGAGCTTAGATTTGTGGTTTGGAACCATTGCATGTCTCAGAATTGGCCAGAATGGGTGAAGAGTCGAAGGGTACTCGGCGAGTGCACTTTGGCACTCGGCGAGTTCCATGAAGATGGCCTTAGACTCGGCGAGTTGGATAAACAACTCGGCGAGTCCTATGAAGATTGCCTGGTACTCGGCGAGTCGTTCTTCAAACTCGGCGAGTCCCTTGAATATAGCCTTGAACTCGACGAGTTGTTATTCCAACTCGGCGAGTCATGTGATCAGTCACTAGGATAAGAAGGGTTTAAGTGTAGGAGGTCTAACCCTCCGTAGTCGCACGTGGAATTAGCAATTTAACGTGTAGCTATAGTCCCAGAATCTCCAAATCTCCAAGGTTGATGTTCTGATGGAAGATTGGAGCGATTTGTGAGATCTGTTCGTCGGACTCAGCGAGTCACCCCCTTGGACTCGGCGAGTCCAGTCGCGGGTTTGTTAGTTGTCCCCGTCTAGCGAGTCAGGCTGACTCAGTGAGTGGGAACAGGGACCCGATGAGTCAGAGTCGGGCTAGACATAGAAGGACTCGGCGAGTCGCCATATGGACTCGGCGAGTCCAGTCAATCAGAAGGTTGACTTTGACCAAGGAGTTGACTTTGACCGGTCATTTGACCTTAGGGGTATTTATGAGTGCCTAATCCATGTTTACGGATTTATAGCCGGAGGGATTACCGGTGCGGCAGCCAGGCGTAGTCTGAGCAGGTTTTCGACAGCTACTCTCGAGGTGAGTTTCCTTCCAGTAGGGACGGGTCTAAGGCACCAAGGCCAGCCCGTATAGACGATATGTTAGGATCGGAGTGTGGGCGGAGCCCGTATCTCATAGCTGAGTTTGATTGTGATATATGCCAGTATGATAGAATTGCTTATACTTGTTGTCTGTGTGATACTTGTATGTTATGGTTTAGTAGCGGAGTGTGGGCGAGGCCCGTATCTCCATGGATAGCAGAGTGTGGGCGAGGCCCGTATCTCCTAGCTAGTAGAGTGTGGGCGAGGCCCGTATCTCTATGGGTGTGGGCGAGGCCCGTATCTCTTAGCTGTTCATTATATGATTGCATGGTATGTGGCATTATGGGGGAACTCACTAAGCTTCGTGCTTACGTTTTATAGTTTTGTTTTCAGGTACCTATTCAGCTAGGGGACAGGAGCCGGCGCGGTAGCGGCATATCACACACTCTCATGTTTTCCGCACTATGGATTTTCTGGGATGTACTCTGAATATTTTACTATGATGTTACCGGTTCTCAGACATAAATTAATATTATGAATGTTTTGTAACGATGTTTTTATGAATTAACCTAATTTAAAAATGAAATTTTTAGCTGGTATTTTTGGGATGTTACATTATGGACTTTATACCTCAAAAGTCACGAAATTGAGAAGTTAAATCTAGATCTCTAAGCTCTTCTCCAAAGAATGAGTCTTCAATCTTCTTCTACCACTTCAAGATGCACAAAACACACTAAATTTCTTTACAAGAGCTCAAAAACACCACACAAAAGCTAAGGGACAAAATTAGGGTTTTCAAGATATGGAGGCTAGTCTAAAATGGTCAACGGATGGGTTTAAGAAGCTTAAATAGGGCACAAACCCTAAAAATTAGGGTTTGTCCCAAGCCAACGTACGTCTCGCGTAACACCACGTACGCCCAACATACGTGGTCAATGCCCGCGATCATAATCTAGCTAGTACACTAAGCATACTAGCTAGAGGACCAATATGCAAGATTTTTGTTTAGCAAGGGTAAAAAGGGAACTTACGAGATTCGATTGTTACAATCCCCATCAAAGGTGAGTCTCGTGTGCTCTCTCACAAACATGTATAATCAATTTAGTTTTAAACTAAATGTGGATGGGTCTAGATATAAGTTGTGGCGTCAGATTTTCTCCAACATGTGTCATGGAATTTTAAGCTATGGTCACACCCCAGGAAAATCAACACCAATCGGGGAGATCCTAATTTATTAAAAATTATATCTAATGATGATTGCACTGCTAAAGATCTTTGGGATAAATTTGAGGAATTTTTTAGGAATAACAAAATGTCTAGAATGTTGCAGTTACATGATCAATTTCGGAATACAAAGAAACGTGTAAGTTCTATTATAGAGTTTTGTCATACCCCCAAGAACCTATCTGGCGATCTCAAAGATGTTGATCCTCCTATCACCAAAATCGAATTGGTCATGCAAATTTTACGACGGTTACCACAATCATATCACAGTATTGTTGATGTCATCACCGATACAAAACTTTTCCCCTCCTTTCTTGAGGTGAAAAACATGCTCCGGTTACACTAGTCTTGTGAGGTTGCTCTTTTTTCCTTAATATATCGCCCCCAATCAAGGAGGCTTTCCACAATAACAAAAGGAAATAAAAAGGATATAAAAGTTTTTTCATACGGGTGGGAAACCAATCACGATAAAAATTGAAAACTATAGTAACCTTCCATAAAAAAATTTGAAGTTAGAGACTAAAACTCAGATTCTGAAAAACTATAGAGACTATTTACGAAGTGTTTATTAATAATCTATAAAAATAAACATTTTAATAAAAATAAATTAAATTAAAATGATACAAAAGTTATTTTACAAAGCAAAATTTGTCAAAAAGATAGTTGTCATGAATTAGCGTGTTTTGTCAAAACATATGAACCCATGGTGTAATTTCGTCTTTGTTTGGTTATTAAAATATAAGATATATGTTGAATAATGTAAAAAATAAATAAATAAATAATGACTAAACGGATCTTACAAAATTTTCAGAAAACCACTGATTTGAAGTTAGAACCAATCGATGGTTTCAATATAATATTATTAAATAATAATAAAAAAATAATTGTCGAACACCCGACAACCCACACCCGAACCCTCACTCTCAACTGATTGTAAAACTCAACGCCAATCACCGGAGACTTTATCCCCTTTAACTGGAGAAAAACTCAGCATAGAGTACAAACAAACCCTTCCTCCTCCCCTTACCACCGGCGTCGCTCCTCCCCTCTAATGCTACTGGTTATTATGATGTCTTGGTGTCTGATTATGTATGTACGCAAAATGGACATTTGTAAACAAGTGAGGGGTTATGATTTCTTCCTCCGGTTTACCATCGTCGTCCCTCGATTTTGAAAACCCTCTATTTTGCTCACCTTGGCTGCACCGTTGATTTTGAAAACCCTAGAAATAATTTCCCTAGACTTTGTGTACGCTGGTTTGCAAACTTAATATAAAAGGAGAAAGAAGAAAAGCGCTTGAATATTTTGCAATGAAAGTCGTCGATAAATCCCATATGAGCAAGTTTCCTCAAGAAGTAAGTTCTCTTTTTTACTTGTATATATGTGAAAATTGAATGTTTGAGGTGGATATCGTAATGTAATTGCATATCCATATGAGGCACCAGGACAAATAAATGACAAAGTCGACGAGTTCAAATAAATGTAATTGCATATCCATATCCACATAAAGAATGGCATGTCACCTAGGATTACATTTGCATGTCACCGTAGGATTATATCTTTAAAGACTTGTAGATTTGCAAACATAATAATTTTCTTTTCTTTACTTTTATTTTTATTTTAAAATTTAATTTCTTTAATATATTTATTGCTTATTATATTAATATATTTATATAATAAAAATAATTTAGTTTATATGTTTAAAATCAACAATATTATATATATATTATAATCCAAACTAAAATAAAGTATTTTTTCGATGTGTTCTTTCTTTTGAAATGTTTATTTAATTAAATTAATTAAAATTTTAATATTATTGAATAATTACTTGATGAATAATTAAGAATTTGTTAAAAAAAAATAGTTGATGTGTCTTGGACCACTTTTTAAAATCATTGATATTGATTTGATTGAGAACTAATAACAAACTTTGTGTGATACTGTTGAAAGATGAATCACATTGCACTGATGTGTATGGTCTAAGATAGTTTTTTTTCAAAATTAACATACCAGAAGATTCACAACCAAACTAGGTCAAATGGACTACATTCGTAATTTTAAAACTTTTCGAGCATAACCTAAGAGACTGACAAACTATAAGGATATTTTTTGCAATTTTGTTATATTTTGAGGATTCATGGATGCACCATTTATCTGTATAAATCAATAGTTTCATTTTTTCAGATGAATCCAACGAGCACCAATAGCCTGAATAGCATGAGCAAGCAACACGAAATTAATATTTCAAGCACTCGAGTTGGCATGTCAGAGATAGAACTAGAACCTGCTTCAATCAATGACCTCAATACCATAAACGAGGAGCATGATATTAACCCTCGTCCACTAAATCTACCTTGTACAGATCTACTCCATGGTAAATCTACTATAAACATGGATTTTTTAACAGCACAACTTCTCTTTCTCTTATATGTCACCTTTATTACAAATATGTAAAAATAAAAACGAACACAAAATATTTTTATGCTAATATATCGAGTGTAATTTCACTACTAGAAAATAGGGGGTTTTCTTACAGAAAATAGCTACGGAAAATTTTCGTAGCTAATTAGCTACGTAATCGCTACGGATCAGCTACATAATGGGATGCCCTAATATAGTAATGGAATATCGACGGATACGAATCTGTAGCGATTCTGTAGCTAATTAGCTACGGAATGGCTACGGAATAGCAACGGATGCTTATCCGTAGACAATCCGTAGGTATAATTTAGACACAGGCCATTATGCTACATCCTTTTTTCCATAGCAATTATGTAGGTATCCGCTTATAGCTACGAATTGTGTTGTAGCTATTACACCAGTTTTGTAGTAGTGTTTGTTCACGAAAGCCAACTTAATTAGTTCTCATATGCTGCCCAAAAAAAACTAGTTGCACTCATCTGGATATATTCTATAATATAAATTGAGGAGCAACTAATTTTTCCTTAAATGAAAGGATCTAGAGAAGATTACATCAACATATTGCTTCCTTTGTACGAAGCATCAGTTACATGTGATTGGGAAGCTGCTAAGGCCATCATTGAAAAACGCCCAGAGTTGGTACGATTTGCTATCACTGATCGTTATGAGACAGCACTTCATATTGCAGCTTCAGCAGAACCGACAAAGCTGGCTGAAGAATTTTTGAAGAATCTAGTCACTAAGATGGAAGACAAGGATTTGGAGCTTAAGAATAGAGGTGGTGATAATGCACTTTTCGCAGCAGCAGTAAGTGGAAGTCCCATTATGGTTGACATATTGCTAAATAAGCACAAAGGCATGTCTATTCCACTGGCCGCAAGTACTTACTGTGGAAATCATAACATGGCGAGGTATCTCTATGAAGCTTCTGAGAAGATGAAGAGCTTAACACCTATGGATCGAATATTTACTCTAAACCATTGTGTAACTGCGGATATGTTTGGTAAGTACGATTATATTTTTGCATTAAATATCCTTGGGCTGTTTCGTTTAATGCTTTGTGGTTTGATCTTATTTTTCATGTTGTTTGGTTTGTCATATATATCATTTTCTTTATTAAGTGATTTCAAATGTTTTGTAGATATCGCATTAAAAATTTTGACAGACTACCCTGAAATCATGGATGCACCTGCTGAAAGTCATTTTATACTTGATGCTTTGTCTGGAAAGGTTGATGCAATTAACAAAAAAGAACCAATTATAATTTGGAAAATCATTGATTCAAGTAAGTTATACCTCTAGTCATTGTATTTATATTTATAGACCTTCTAACTACCATTAATATGTGGGCTTCTAATTGTTTATTTCATTCAGTTTTTGCAAAACTACATATGAAGAAGAGACTTTCGAAAAAGGATCATCAAGCATTGAATTTACTAACAAGGGTTCTGAATAGTACTATTAAATTCAATAAGCTGGCCATCGATAAAATATTATTCAAGCGCGTTGAGGATGGTGTTTAGAAGTATTCCGGAATAATATTTAATGTTGCAGCAGTTAGCAACACATGTTTTATTATTGAACTCATCCGAATCTATCCCCATGTAATATGGATGCCAAATGATGATGGACACACTATATTTCACATAGCTATTATGCATCGTCACCAAGGTATCTACAATCTATTGTATGAGATAGGCTCAAGGAAGTATGTGATAGCTTCATGGACAGACAAAAAAGAAAATACTATACTTCATTTACTTGGGCTAACTATAGAGAAAGTTCAACTTCAGACGCAGTCAAGAGTATCTCTATTGTTGCAACGAGACTTACTATGGTTCCATGTATGTTTTCCAAACAAAGTTTTATACAACTCATTGTTTCCTTAAAATGGGTAATTAGATATGAGGTAGGGGGTGTTTGAATGTACACTCGAATCATTGATTGTTCAAGGGATCGAATACTTTTTCAAATGACTTTTGAACCAAATCACATATGCATTATGAAAAATGATTTTATCCAACACTCCGACAAAATAAGTGGATATTTTAATGGGTTATAATTGTTTAAAACATTTGTGTTGTAGGATGTGGAGAAGATGTTGCCACCTCCTCTAAGGGAACATAAGAACAAAGATGGCCAAACGGCCTATCAATTATTCTTTGAGAACAACAAAGATCTAGTTTCGGGCAGTTTGAAATGGATGAAAGATTCTATGGTCGTTGCAACACTTATTGTCACTGTAGCATTTGCAGTTGCGTTTACTATTCCCGGAGGATATAACCAAGAAAACGAGTTTCCTATCTTCATCCATGAACACACCTTCTTAGTTTTTATAATAGCAGATGCAATTTCCTTATTCTCTTCCTCAACTTCACTTCTAGTGTTCCTGTCTATCATCACATCTAATTATGGTCAACGTGATTTCCTATACTCATTACCCAAAAAGCTAGTGATAGGTTTAGTAATACTCTTCATCTCTGTAGCAGCCATGATGCTTACCTTTGTTGCAAGTTTCTTCGTGTTATACCGTAACGGGTTGAAATGGGTACCGATCATTATCGGTATATTAGCTGTCATGCCAGTCGTTGTATTTGCAGCACTTCAGTTTCCTGTTTGGTTGGACATGTTTCGCTCGATGTATGATTCTAGGTATATCTTCCATCCTAAGAGACATATGTTTTACAATAAAAACCCAAGGTTGTAATATGCTCTTTAAAAAGAAGGACATTGTAAAAGGTCTTTGAAGCCAATTTGAATAATGATTTTTTTGGCATACAAGTCGATATGCATTTACATGATTTTGTTGCTAGTCTTCGGAATATAACTACTTTGAATGTACTTGTTGAGGTTTGGGAGGAATATCGTGTGGTTTCTGGAATCAAGAGGTTTCCAGGATTACTTGAAAGATCGTGTAGAATACTTTTCGAATATGATATTTCGAGCTTATGATTGGATATCATCAAATCCATATGATGGAGATGACCCTTCAAGGAACAATTTCATATCAAGACACCAATAAGATATCAAGAACTAGAGATTTTTAGTAATTCGAATTCTTATAACATTAAATGCTTATTATATTTCATAAGTATATGTTTTCAAATAATTATTAGGAAACATAATTTGAAATTAATATTCTTCCATAATAATTTCCTTAGTAAAGTAATTTACGGGGCAAGGTGCCTCGCACCCTGAGAGCAGCCCCCATTGTCTACTCGTGTGATGATTGGACAGTGAGACCCCCGATAGGGGTGCTTCGCGTCATTAGGGGGTTATTGCCCTTAGGAACCTCCAACGAGCACAATCCCGCAATTTGGTCGAGCCTTTGAACTTCATTGATAATCTTGTAAATTTCATTATACTAAAATGATATGACGACACTAAAATCACCAAAAATCCTCCTTTATTTTAATGTAACCAAGAATCCACACAAACAAGAATTAAAACTAATACAACTTATGCACACATGAAAAATATCGAAACGACTGGATTTTCATATTAGTATATTACACATTCTAAATATCCAAAATCGGGTGTTCTAAGAATTGAACCATTCATCACATTTAAATGAATTATGTAGTAGAAAATTATAACATCATTATTAAGCTAAGTGTCCCAATCAATTATTGATCGTATAAAAGCTAAGTCCCTACTTTTTGAAGTGCCACTAAATTTCACGGTCATATACGTAATTCATTTGCTCATGTACATGCTTACATTTTATCAATTGAATTGTTAAGAATATACATTTAACCTTCCCTATGTAGGTTCGAACACACTAACATAGGATGACATATTATGTGTGTTCCAATCCTTATGTGCGAGTTCTAATTGATTTAAACCTCCAATGTCATATAAGAGGGGAATTAGGTGTCTCTCCAATAAGGAATTAAATAGACTTTAAACTCATCACTATCATCGATTTGTGCATTAACTCCTTGGCCAAACCTTTTGTCAGATGATCCGCAAAGCTTTGTTGCAACCTTAGAAACTCCACCGTAATTAATCAATCATGATTAAATCCCTAATCATGTTATGTCTAACACTAAGTTTCTAGCACGTTGACACTTTCTTAGTCATTAGACGCGGGGGGGGGGGGGGGGGTGATGGGCAACCCTACCTTTTGAAAAACCGAATCCGGATGGTGGAATCCAGATAGAATGTCCAAACAAGATATCTCCCAATCATGATGAACAGTATCAACGATACATGAATGAAGAGGCAAATCCCTTAAAACCAAGAAAAGAACAAAAGCCACGCTTACTAAATAATAAACCCATAACACAGATGTTACATATAACTTGAGAAACTGATAATTGTTGTTTTCCATATTTTTTTCATTTCTAAATATCAACCCTACACCCACCCCACACGTACACTCCCACATCCATATCCACACTCTCACCCCACCATACACATCCACCCCTACACCCACACCCACACCCCACCCACACGATACCCATAAAATTTTTAATGTTGATAAAGCAATTAAATAGAAAGTTCAAGAGTAAACTTTTTTTTAAACTATTTAAATATACAAAAAGTTATTTTCGACGGAATAACTTACACAAAAAGTCATTTCTTGCAAAACGTAAAGGCGTAGAAACCAATTCTATAATTGTATTATTACATGATGACCATTTTGATGGGTTTTAAAGGTTATAACAAAACATTTATAGCGGAAATTCTTAACTCGTAAGTGCACATGCAACCTATAAAGGATCTATGTTTTGTCTAATTGATAACAATAAACTATAAATATAAAGAACCCTAAAGGAACCCTATAATAATTGAAATATACATAGGATGAGGGTTTACATACCTTTTGATTATTATAGCAAATAACCAAACAAAGTTCCTTCTTGAAAGACTTGGAAAGCAAGCACGAAAAGCTTAGTGCCTCTAATGGTTTGTACCTAAACCCTGGCAATTAGAAGACTTGAGGAGAGAGGAGGAGAATGCATAAAATTTGGCTACTCTCTTGTCAGGAGGAGTGGACGAAAATGGGAGCCCCACGGGCCGAATTTATAGCTGATACAAGGAACCCTGGAAACCCTAATTTGAATATAATATTAATATTTCAAGTTAGGTACCGATCATTACCGATATATTAGTTACTATGTCAGGCATTGTATTTGCAGCACCTCAGTTTCCTGTTTGGTTGGACATGTTTTGCTCGATGTATGATTCTAGGTATATCTTCCATCCTAAGAGACATATGTTTTACAATAAAAACCCAAGGTTGTAATATGCTCTTTAAAAATAAAGACATTGTCAAAGGTCTTTGAAGCCAATTTGAATAATGATTTTTTGGCATACAACTCGATATGCATTTGCATGATTTTGTTGCTAGTCTTCCGAATATAAATACTTTGAGTGTACTTGTTGAGGTTTGGAAGGAATATAGTATGGTTTCTGGAATAAAGAGATTTCCAGGATTACTTGAAAGATCATGTAGAATACTTTCTAAATATGATATTTCGACCTTATGATTGGATATCATCAAATCCAAATTATGGAGATGACCCTTCAAGGAACAATTTCATATCAAGGCACCGATAAGATATCAATAAATAGAGATTTTTAGGAATTTGAATTCTTATCAACATTAAATGCTTATTATATCTCATAAGTATATGTTTTCACATAATTATCAGGAAACATAATTTGAAATTAATATTCTTCCATAATAATTTCCATAGTAAAGTAGATTTACGGAGCAAGGTGCCATGCACCCTGAGGAGCACCGTCTACTCATGTGATGACTGGGTAATGAGACCCCCGGTAGGGGTGCTTCGCCTTGTAACCCCGTTAGGGGATGTTACCCTTAGGACCCTGCAACGAGCACAATCCTACCATTTGGTCGAGACATTATCGCATGTTCTTCATGTTTAGTAAGGTTTGGGTGGTGATATCTCATAAAGGTTGCAACTTTATGAATCTCTGGGACATTTGGGATGTTTGATGCTTTGGATCTGAAGTAAGAGTGGGTTTTGAAGCCATGCATGAGGTTTTAGTCGTAAAACCTTATTTTGACCTAATATGAAGTCAAAACATGCATTGGACATGCATGTCTATAAAGCACCAACTTTTATGTTAGTTTTGGTACTAGAGACTCTTCTAGAGAAGATGGATTAAGGAATTTAAAGAATATGTGCTTAGTGGTTAAGTCAATGTCATGTTTTGCCTTTTTGGAACCTAGGGTTTGAGATCTTGGTCTCTTGAATGGTCTTAATGGATAAAGTTGAAAACTTTATCCATCTAGACCATAGTATGGAGCAGATCTGAGCTTTGAAGCTCTTAGGGTCGAAGGAAACAGCTTAATCCATTAATCTATTTAAAACCCAATTCCCACGATGTGGCATTCAGTCGCTACGGTGTGGCGACTGGGGGTGGTTCGATTGTATTGTCTTTATTATTCCACGACATGGCCAATGGGGGGCCACGGCGCGGAGATCGGCTAAGGCCATCTTGAGTTATCTGATTTGGATTCTGATCAGGTTTAGACTCGTGGGCCACGACATGGCCAAATGGTGGCCACAACGTGGAGGTCGATTGATATTGACTTTGACTTTGACCGTTGACTTCTAGGGTTGACTTTTCACATATGGCCTTTAGTCAGTTTACTAGTTTTAGAAGGGAAAAGTAAGGGTATTCCTTGTGTGGTTATATAGGTGGCGTTTAGCACATGTGCCGAGAATTTTAGAGCTTGTTCACTATTGAGTTGTGTTGTGAGGTGAGTCTTCTCGTTATATTGTAGGATGTTAGGTTGTTTATGTGACTATTGCATGTGTATATATTTTTTGGATGGTTTGGGCCCGATTATATGGTTTGGGCCCGATTATATGGGTTGGGCCCAATTTTATGGTATGAGCCTGTTTATATGGGTTGGGCTCGAATAAATGGGTTGGGCCCGAAGCATCTATGTTGGGTTAGGCCCATACTTATTTGGTATATGGTATTTTGGGGGAACTCACTAAGCTTTGTGCTTACGGTTTTATGTTTAAATGTTTCAGGTACTTCCGGTTCAAAAGGGAAGATCTCAGCATGATCGCATTGCAAACCCCGGAGTTTTATTATGCACTATATTTTGATTTATCATTGATGTTTGAGGATAAATTGTCATACTCTGATTATCTTTTATTTGAAATGAATGGATTTTCGTTTTTGGTTATTTTAAAAATGAAAATTTTCTCTTGAATTTTGGGACGTCACAAGTTGGTATCAAAGCCTTGGTTTGAGGGATTCAGACACACTCTCGGGTGTGTTTGGACTCAAACTGAGAAATTGGTAAAAATATTTTAAAGAAAAACAATTTCTCTAAAAAGGTTTTATAAAAGGAAATGGGTGTGATGCATGCAATCAGCCGATATCAAGTAAGTAATTCCCCAAAATACTATATATTTTGTTATGTTTAGTGTGTTATATATGGATCACATGCTAGATTAGGGCTAAGGATTTGCTCAGTATTCCATGATAGAATGCCTGTTTGGGAGATATACCTTTATCCCCGTTATGTGGGTCAGTAGTAATGCATGCTAGTGATTAGAGATCTTCGAGAGTTTCAGAGATAGGACTGTCTGATTATGTGGTGCCTGATTGTTTGTTGTCAATACTCGAATGCTACTTGCTTTGTGCAATCTGATACCTTTAATGATGTCTGTTATCCATTAAGCGAATATGATAGGTTGCATACTACAAGGA